TTACTAGAAACCTCCCATATCCAGAAGGGAGCTGAGAACAGCAGGTAGTAAGTAAAGCAAGCTCCCAAGCAGCTAACAAACAAACACACGAACAAAAACCAAAACACTGCACAGAAGTCCATATATTAAAGAGTATGTAATTTCCACCTTTAGGGCCACAACATCTCAGCCCTCTATGCAGAACGTTACAACGCTTTTTTTTCTAGACATAAATATATAGTTTCCAATAACACAGTAGACTAAAAGTGTCAAACTTGAAATGGAAGAAAAGCTACTTTTGTTACACCAATGGCACTGAAAAGTTAAAAACCCCGTGTTTAATAGAAGGTTGGTGATGATCCTATGTTAAAAATTAAAGACAAGAAAAAGAACCACAACAGTTTGGGATTATTGAGTATACAGGCAAAACCTGCATGGTGTAATAATTTATGTTTATAAAGATGCTCCTAAGTAACCAATAAGAAGTTAAATTATGTTTTTTTATACCGTATTTTAAGGAGCAACTTTGCGATATGTTTCAGAACAAGGCAGATGGTTAAAAGTTTCAGTTATTAAAGGAGAATGCACTAAGCTCTCTGGAAAACTGAGCTGTCCAGAATTATTTATTGAGATTTTTTTTTAAAATCAAAATGTTATTAAACCTAGGTCAAGTGAGGAGACATTTTCAGTGAATTCCAATGATAAAGAATTCAAATTAGAGAAAGAATTGTGATAAATATAATAAATAAGAAAGTGACTCTTATTTACCACTGAGATGAAATAAAAAGGTTTGCTCCAGACCCATTTTTTCTAAATGTCACAATTAGGTTTTTCCAAAGCAAATGTTGTTCTTATCTGTTTGTTGTGTTCTTCTGTTAACCTGGCTGTCTCATTAGAAACAGGGACATTTCCTAGTGAAATTAATGTGACATTTAGAGAAGATTTCCTCTCTCAAATGTTTCATATTGTTTGCCATTGAGCATACTTAGAGAAGATATTGGAATAATGTCAAGCAAATTTTGATTAAATAAGGCTAACTAGGAGCCAATACATTCATGCATGAAAAGAGAAAAGCTCTTGTATTATATCTTAAAGAATGTATTTCTTCTGTGGTTCTTTATCCTATATTGAAATGACCTTGACAGATAATCTGACAGAAGAAGTGACAACTCCTAAACAGCTGGGCTTGCCCTAGAAAATGCAGCACATTTGGTCAGGGCCTGTGGTCAGTCCTTTGCTCAAGACAATTGTTTGCCACCCTGAAGGTACACTAAAATTTCCTGGAAAGCTTTATTAAAAAAACCACCCAGGGCCTGAGTCCAGCTCCAGGCTAATTGCCTCAGAATCTCTTGGAGTGGGTCCTTGGTGACAGTATTTTTATTTTTTATTTATTCACACAAAAGAAGATTTTGAGAAAATTCTCATGTGTAGTTTGGACTGAGAACCACTGGCTTAAGACATGCAAACTATTCATTAAGAAAATATTATTTCCTTCTTTAGGATGATCTGAGTCTCATCCTTTGCTCCACCAGAAGCGTGTAAAAATATACTCTCTTAGTGCACAGGAGCTGGGTTTGGGCATACACCTTGAACCAGTATGAGCTAGAACACTTGATGTCAGTACACATAGACCCATAATATAATAGGCCATCTATGGCCAGTTAACTCAGTTGTTTGGAATGTAGTACTAATGAGGCCAGAATAGTGTATTCTATCCAATTAGAATAATTCTGTTGCATAGATTTTTCCCATAACTGTAACCCAGCTGCCTCACAAAGAGACCTGAGACAGATTACAAAGGCACAAGACAATGGGTGAATCAGCATAGCCCCATCCATTCTGGGAAAATTGGTTTTAGGACCCTGCCACATTGACTAGTGCTACTAATTGCATTAGGATGCAGCATAGGACATCTGCCCATGATGGTTTGTGCTGATTTGGGGAATTATATATTTTCATTTGAAGGTCAGGACCTGCAAGAATGGGTGGTTTACTCCTTTGGAATTAAAAAGGAGGAAGAAAGATAGGAAGGTTATAAGCTTCTATGATACTCTCCTCTTTACAGTAGCAGATCATGCCTGGCACATCTGCCCAGGGTTAACTGACCTGTACTGGGGGAAGAATTGTTTAGGTCATTACAAGCAAGCCCTCTAGACTTGTCTCTTCTCAACTTAATGCCAGGGAGTGGGAATTCTCATGATGAGATATATTATGGCATTAGGACCAAGAAGTAGTATTTTCGTTAGAGATAAAACGTGCATGGTTTTGCTTCTTTGCCCGAACATGTGGTTCTGGCACCATGCCTGGAGGTCAGGTCTCCACGGAGCTTCATATTTGTTGCACAGTGCACACAGGTTCCATGCCTTCATATGCAAAAATATGGAAAATTTTCTACTTGAGAACTGTCTTCTTTAAAGGCAGTAGAGACAGATTCTTTAAATACAGTAGCTTGGGTTGCTGGCACACCTTATGGTTTTTCTGCAAAGCCAGTATCCTCTAGATTTACTTTTTGTATTTGTGTCTCTTTACTAACCTTCTTGAAAAAATGATTTAGTAAATTTTCAAGATGAGATAGAACATGGATATGCCACTATTTTATGGCCTGAATGAGGTTAAATTCCTGATCCTACTTGGAGTTGCAGGCTCCATATAAAGCACAGGGATCGGGATTCCTGCCTTTCCTGTCATGGGTCTGATAAACACAGCTGAAATTCTCCTTTGGATTCATGTTCTATTATCCCTGTTTTACAGAGAAGAAAACTGAGGCATGCAGGGATTAAGTAATTTGCCCAAGATCACAGACTGAAACGAATATTTGAACTGCTGAGTGCTTAATCAATTCCCTGTTTTAACAGATGTATTAGTCCATTCTTACATTGCTCTAAAGAAATAACTGAGACTGGGTAATTTTATAAAGAAAAGTGGTTTAATTGGCTTATGGTTCTGCAGACTGTACAGAAGACATGATGCCGATATCTCCTTGGCTTCTTCTGGGGCCTCAGTAAACTTACAATCATGGTGGGAGGTTAAGGGGGAGCAGGCACATAACATGGTCAGAACAGCAAGAGAGAGAGATGGTGAAGAAATGCTACACACTTTTAAACAACCAGATCTCACGAAGACTCACTCACTATAGAGAGGACAGTACCAAGAGGGATGGTGCTAAACCATTCATAAGAAATTGCCACCATGGTCAAGTCACTTCCCACCAGGCCCCACCTCCAACATTTGGGATTATAATTCAACGTGTGGTTTGGATGGAGACACAGGTTTAAACCACATCAACAGGGTAGCATAAGTTTTGTGGAGCAGTGAACTTCTCACTTGTTAAATTATATATTGTACTGAATATCATAGATGAACACATTTAACCAACATCATTTTTACCTGTTATGTTGGTACAATGAATTAACTCAAGTGTTTGTTGGTTGACTGACTGATGGATAAACTTCTTCCGGCAAATACTTGGATTGTATTCCTAACACAGCTTCAAGTTTGCTTCCTTTTCCTGTTTGTGACAATTTCAGCATTCACTCTCTATGAAGAAACCAGAAATGAACTGACCCTTTTGATTTTTAGTCTCCCAACCCATGCTTCCAATAGTATTAAAAATTGCTTGAGTTTACATTAAAAGAGGGATATAAAAGTCTAGATAAAAGCAGCATGAGTAGATACTATACAGTCCATCTTCAAATGAGGGGCATAGGTGGGTGCATGAACGTACCTGAGTAAGTGCAGGGCAATGTTGGGGTTTAGTTTCCTTCTAAGTACTGTCTCCTCCGCTGTCTTACACATTCACCATCCCCCTTCCTACCTACTGTAGGCCCTTGGGGTCTTTCCCCTTACTGCTGGCTGTTTGGTGCCCATGTAGTAGCTGGATCTGCTATTGCCTGTTCTGTTTTCTTCTCCATCAAACCGTGAGCTCCTTGGAAGCAAGAGCAGCATTTAGGAGCCTAGCAGAGTTAGTATCTGACAGGTAGAGCTCTGAGAGGAATCTGCTCTTTTGTTTGCTAGACAGCAATTGTGTTTCCTTTTCCAAGCACTCATAATTTCAGAAGGCTCCTAAGGAAAGGTGGGAATGGTGGAGATTTCTAGTGGGATGGCAAGAGTGGGGGCGATGCGTTTGGGTAATTTCTAGATTATACAATGGTTTAAGAAGAGTAGTACTTTCGTGCTGGGGATGAGATCCACTTTACTAGAACATCCAGTTACTTTAGTGTCAACTTTTCTCTGGATTTCACCCCTTCTGAGGCTTTTCCCCTCTAGTTCTCCCAACCTCTGGGTGATCATAAGCTGCTTTTTCATCACTTTCATCTGGCAGGTATTCTGCATTTGCTTTTATAAAGCCATTGCTCCAGCAGTCTGCTGTAACCAGATTAAACAGTGTTGTTTTAATGACAGGAGCTGAGACAGGGGTTTGCTTGCAAACTTCATGTTTCACATGAAAGGCTTTGGCACCCCCTGTGGACTGCTCTTCACCCTGTTTTAGGCTTAATACTTGTTTGCCTTTATATCTGGGATAAAACAAAGGCCTTCTTGTATAACCAGTGCTGAGCAAATGTCTTGAAACAAAGGGAAGTGCAGAGTTTAAATCCACAGTGGGGGATTACCTTGCCTGCATTTCCATATCTTTGGAATAAATATTTTAACATGTTAATTATCTACTACTAATAAAAATACCTTTGAACTTCCAGTCAATCTGATAGGCATAGAATTGTCTCCACTGGGGAATGGGAAGCAATTAGTTTCTGTAAAGATTGTAGGTCATGTTGTCTCTTCTCGGTAAGTGGTTGCATGGTCAGTAGCCAGTCATATTCTGTTTGTGCCAAGGCTGCCTTGGTCTGCCTCCACGGAGCCCCTAGGGCCTGAAGGAGGCAGAGGCTGCTGCTCCACTGTGGCTTTGGATTCCAATTCACTCACCGCTTCTTAGCCCAGAAAGAATATTCTTTCTAAGTAGGACAGTTAAGACTCTACTTATAAATCATCCATGTAACCTTTTAAATTTTTTCTTCTCATTGCAGACTGAAAACTATTCTTTTGACTCCAACTACGTGAATAGCCGAGCCCATTTAATCAAAAGGTATGTTGGTTTGCTTGCTTATTGCTACAACTAACCTTGATTTCATATTAAAAAGCAAAACAGATTAAAGTTTTTTAGTTGTATTTTTCTGGGATTTTAAAATGAATGCCTAACCTACTTAGTGTAGGAAGTTTGGAAAATTGAGAAGCATAAAAAAAGTAAATAAACATCACTGGTAATTCCATCAACCAAGGATAATCACTGTTGACATCTTACATTTCTTTGTATGAAAATGTATGTATAAACACTCAAAATGAAAAATAAAACTGGGATTATATTAAAATATAGTTTTATATAGTGACAGAAATCTGATATTACAGATATTCACTATTTCTAGTATTATTTCTAATTTCTTATATTTCTAATGTGATATTAGAAATATACAATAGAAAACTTTCACAATCATGTTGATACAAAAATCTTGTTGCTCTTCACTTTAAGCCTTAACATTTTTTTCATGTAGAACTTCACATGTGTTTTGAGATTGCTGCTATTTCAACAACTTTGAAATCATTTTAAGGGTATTTTAATGACAGAGAAGCTAATCCTTTGCTTTCTAGATGAGAGAGAAAAAGAAATTTGCCTGATTCTTCTTAAAATATTTAGAAGTGTTTCAGATGAAACATTCAAAGTTGAGATTTATGTGATGGGTTGGTCATAATTTAGTATCTAAGGAGCCGTTATGGATGTGAGTACAGAACTGAATAGTGCCAAGAAAGATTCCATCTGGTGCAGTGGTCTGCACCCAATGAGGGAAGGACAAGGGGTTTGGGAAGCCCTCTAAAGGGTGGAAACTGAGCAAAGAACAGAATCTCTCAGTGGAAACTGAGAAAGACCAGTCCTGATCATTCAAATGATGACTTTATTGCTCTTTCATATAAATAGTTACTTAAATGGTCAAGTGATTATTCTGCAGCTAAAATTGAACTCTGAGTATGTTTGTTAAAACAATTGAAATGAAACAGAGAGGCAAGCAGGGTATGTTAGAGCTGTAGCAGAGAAGACTTGCAAATTCTATTATTTTGCTGGCTCTAATCCCATAAATTTACATCACCAGAATAGTAGAATTCAAGGAATAAACAAGCTTCAAGTAACTTACATTCATGTCTAATTTAATTCATGAGGCTTCAGTAACCCCTAAAACATGCTAAGTTTATCTGTATTGGTCTGGAATTACTTGTGACCCTGAGTGATGATCATTAGTTGTCTGACAATGGGTAGTCCTTGTATTACCAGTGAAAGCACAGTTGAGAATTTTTCTTTTTTTTTGAGGGGTTGGGAGGAATCCATTTAGAATATTTTTCTGGCTCACATAATAAAAGCAAAAGGTGAGGAATTCAAAATTATCTGGCTAATTTGTTTTAGAAAGAAAAAAAAAACCTTCTTATATGCACTGATTAGAGTGCCTTTGTAGTAGAAATCTGCTTTGTTTTCTGCTTCCGGATTGATATTTTCAAAGCTCCATTTTAAAACTTTGATAACAACAGTGACTTACCTTATCCTCCCAGGTCCCTTGGGCTAACTCAGGTTACTTGAGAATTCTGTAGCTGGGTTAAACAGATAACATGACGCTGGACGCAGCGTCTCATGCCTGTAATCCCAGTGCTTTGGGAAGCTGATGATGGAGGATTACTTGAGGCCAGGAGTTCGAGACCAGCGTGTGCAAAATAGTGAGACCCTCCCCGCCACACCATCTCTACCAAAAAGAAAAATAAATAAATAAAATAAAAAACCTGATAATATGAGTCTTATTTTCACAGCCTGGAGGAAAGCTAAGACTCTCAGGGACCCTTGCATCTTAAAACAGTCCTGACTATCCAATTTACAAGGTAGACTGATAAAATAAAAACTTAAGTTTAAACATTTAGCTTTGGGGATACATGCATTCCCATAGCAGTGTTGAGACTTACTGGGAACCTCTGATTTTGGTTAATTATTTTATATATTTTTTGTTTATACACACATACACACAAAAGGCACAAGCTAGACTTAATAGGTTCTTGGTGAAAAAGTCTCCTGATTTTGCATGAAATCGAAGATAGCTTTTTTTAAAAAAAAAAAAAAAAGCAGGGACTACCTTGATTAAGAGGAAACATCTGAAAGCTCAGGGACACATGCGTTTCTGACAGGATTCTGTGTATAGAACTGTGAGGGCTTTAGGAAACCCTGAAGGCTTTGGAATTTGTGTGGTCAATTGAGTTTAGACAAAGCATAATACCTAGAAACATACAGGGAATCTTGCGTGCTGTGTTGTTCTGGGGACCAACTGTGATAAATGTAAAATGTGTGGAAAATGTTGAGAGTGGTGGCAAACACCGGGTGATAAAATCATTCAAATCCTGTTCAAAGAGTTCACAGCAATGTTTGAAAGGAGTTTTGCTCTATGTGGTTTTTTGAAGATCCATTTATATCCATGGAAAAAGCTCTTGGCCAGGAAATTCTGAATCTGATTATCAGTTTTAATTTTACTATCAAGTCCCGTTTCTTTGAATGCCAATACAATTTCAGGCTGACTTTGATAACTCACCTTTCTTTTTTTTTTTGAGATAGAATCTTGCTCTGTTGCCCAGGCTCGAGTGCAATTGCTCGATCTTGGCTCACTGCGACCTCCACCTCCCGGGTTCAAGCGATTCTCCTGTCTCAGCCTCCCAAGTAGCTGGGGTTACAGGCATGCACCACTGTGCCTGGCTAATTTTTGTATTTTTAGTAGACATGGGGTTTCCCAGATTAGCCAGGCTGGTCTTGAACTCCTGACCTCAAGTGATCTACCTACCTCTGCCTCCCAAAGTGTTGGGAATACAGGTGTTCACCACCACACCTGGCTGATAACTAATTTTTCTACCCATGTTCTCTTGTTCTATTCATTTTCTACTTATCCAAGGATGTTTCCTGGACCTTTCTTTTCAACATTTTCTAGCAGTGGTTAGCATTCTTAGCCACACTGTTTACATACAGGTATCTTTTCCTCTCTTACATCTATCTATCTTGAGTAGTTGAACAGCAGCTACCACTGTCCTCCTTTGGTTCTTTCCTTCATCAGTCAGGGTTCCTACATGAAGTAGTTGGCACACCTAAATTGGAATGGATTAAGGAAAGTTTATTTACAAAGGGGACTATTTACAAAGGCTTGGGCACGATTAGTGAACCTCCAGGGATACTGCAGTATTATGGCACTGGAGGAGATAAAAATACATCAGGCAGGACCGGGGAAGAGAGCAGGTAGGGAACATTGACTTGAGAGTAACAGTTACTTCTGGTTGGCCAAGGGATCCAGTCATCATGAAGTGACCCTGAAAGGAAGTAGCAGAGGCAATCAATATCCTGATATCACTGTCCTCCTCTGTTCTGATCTCCTGCTGGTGTCTTCCTTTGGCTAAACCCAACAGAAAGCCAGAGAGCAAGGGGGTTCTCACAGGCACAAATCAAGATTGAGGAGGATCGGAAAGGGAAAAGGGAGTGATATGGAAGGTTCCCCATAATTTCATGCACCAAGGAATCTAACATTATATTTCTGTAGTTTATTATTTTTTTCTCAGAATGTCACTTGCAACCTGAAGGTATACCCAAGGAGGCTTATATGAGAGTCCCAGATTAACAAATCATGGCAGTGTAGACTTTCTTTTGGATGGACTTCCTTCTTGCTCTGTTTGTTTCTTGCTATCTTCTCAGAGCATTGAAAGCCAGCAGTGGTACTTTGCCCATGCTGCAACACTCTTTCCTCATGCCTGTTTTGTGGTATGCTGTCTGATATCCACTCCTGCAGTACTTTGGGAACAATATCAAGCAGGCCATGAGTCTGTGTTTACATGGTAAATATGGGTCAGAATTTGTGTGTTGTTCATTCATTATGCATCTGCTGAGTAGCTCTTCTGTGCAGAACCCTGTTCTAGGTCTTTTCAAACATACCTGTCTTTCTGTTGGCCACCAGAGCAGTAATAGAAACATGTGCATTTACAATATCACTGGAAACAGGAACCTCTAATTTATTGTCCCACAAAAGTTGTTTTACAAGTCCTTCATCTCCCAAGAGGTATGCTGGTAATAAAGCAAGTGAAATCAGCATTTTTTATGCCTGGCATAAATTGTTACTTGTTTTGGGTGAGTAGCCATTTACCAGCCTATTTTACAATTTGCAGCATCTTGTTCACTGGGTCTTAAACTGCCTTACACAAATCCACTCATTAAACCACTAAATGCTCTTACAAGATCAGTGTAAGTGGCACTTAGTTTGTCAGATGGGCAAACTAATCTTTAAATGAGTTAACTATTCTAAGGTTTGGGAGAGTTGTTACACCTCTTGCTTTTTATTCTGAGAATATACAGCTTCTTGTGCTCACACTACCAGTCCCTCACATCCTAGTAGCTAATCCTTCACTGTTTTATTTCCATCATTTCTATTTAAAAATCAAAATCTCTGAGGTTGTTTATAACATTCAGATGCCTATAAAAAGGATGATCAAATTTTTAAAAGACAGATCCAAAACCGATTAGGAGAAGTAAGGTAGACATCTCTGGCATCCAGGGAGGTAACTGACTGCAATTAAACATTACATTGATGTTGAAGTTTTTGAGAAGCCAAGACAAAGCAATAAGTACATCAGTTGACATAGTTTTCATTATTCAACAAAGGAAGGATGGACATTTGACAGAACTATTTTTTTTCTGTTCTTTAGTGTTAGAAGAAATTAACATATTAGGCAGTGTGTGGCTATTGTTTGCAGAAGTTATAGAAATGTTCTTTAAATATAAATTTTCCATACCAATCCTATAAAAACCATGGACATAATATTTAATTGTAACTCAGTAAAAGCATTACTACACAGAATAATGATTGTGTTAAACAATAACCATTTATGGAGCATCTATGTGTATCTGGTACTTCATGTACAGTCTCTGTGAGTCTTCTAAATGGCCTTGTGAAGGCGATTTTAGCAAACACATTTTACAGATAAAGAAACTGAGATTCAGATACATTAGGTATCAGGTTCAGGGCCATACAGATGAAGTGGTAGATTACACGTAGATTACAGATTATTACTTGTCCTAATGACTCCAAGTTCAGTGCCCTTCACTACAGTTTGCTATAGAAATAAATAACCTAGAGCAGTTGTTCTCAACTCGGGGGTGATTTGGTAATGTCTCTTTGGAGACACTTTTGGTTTTTTCCCTGAAGTGGGGGTCATTACTGACATCTAGTAGATAAAGGGCAGGGATGTTGCTAAACACCTTACAATGCATAGGCAGCCACAACAAAGGGTTATGCAACCCCAAATGTCAATAGTGCAAAGGTTGGGAAGCCCTGTTTCAAGGGCTGGTTAGTTAACATTGCCCTCATGCTAGATCCGTCACCATCATATGTTTCAAGCAAGTTTCAACAACTGCTGAATTTAGAGTTGACTACTTTGGCTTAAAGTGACAGTTTTTGTTGTGAATTAAGGAAATTTTCAGATACCAGAAAATATACAGGTTGGAAAGTTAATATTTGTTATAAAAATGGAGGACCTGAATATCATTCAGGTAGGTCTTTTCCTTTCTCCAGAGGTACATGGATGCTTGTAGGCAGGCACCCACCTCACAAAACAGAGAATAGTTTCTAAAAAACAAACTTTAAATTTATTTAAACTGTGGGATTATAATAGTATTTACAGAAAACTCCGTAATATGTGCCATAAAGCTAGAAATGGTGAAACACTTAAATCATGTGTTTCCAATTGGCCATCCTGACCATGAAAGAACTGTAGGATAATTTGTTTTTCTAAAAGAACTGCATCCTGGTGGGTCCATAAGGCTGTTAGCTGTGTGACATAAATTGAAGGAGCTGAGTGAGCTGGCCTATTGAGTGATTTTAAATTTAGTGCGGTTGATACTCACTTATTCTTTCTGAAAATAATTAGCTAACAGGTCAGTGCTTCACTCTCTCCTACTCTTCATTTTCTTATAATTATGGCTTTCCAGTTACTGCCCTCCAGATCTTTCCTTTTTATATTCAGGTCAGCAAGCATTCTACATCTAGGTTGGTCATATGTTAAAAATCTGCTGTGATTCTTCTTGACCAAGTGTGAAGAGTGACAATGTTTCCATTGTGTCCATGGCATAGCTTTTCATTTTATGTACTGAATCTTCATATCAGTCTCAGAGAGCCAGGCCTGTAAATGTCCAAGGTTGAGCAGATCAAGTGAGTTTGCAGTGCCATCTCCACAGGGATCTTTTCTCAGAGATATAGTAGGTCTGTTAGGGTTTGTTTTAATTCACAAACATGCCACTCTTCCTTGTTGAGGCAACAACATATTTTCTTGAGTGTGCCTTTGCTGTTTCCTCACTGACTAGGGAATGGATTCACCATCCATTAGATATTTCAGATACATAATTTATGAATCATGGTGTAGCACAGCTGTGGATTCTGTCAGGACATACTAAGTATTATAAATACCAGGTGGGTACCCTATAGCTGTACCTTATGTATTATTCTCTATTTCATGAGAAATGGTGTGGAGTTCTTGGATTGCATGCTTAGTGCATTGTATGGTAGATTGATTTAATAAATGCAAGAGTCATGTTACCCACCAACTCCTGAGCTGAAAGTTTTCATGTTCTTAGTATGACTATACTCACAATTGTATTAGTGCTCACTCTCTGGTTCTCATTTTTATCTTACCTTCTATATTAGTTAGGGTTCTGCAGAGAAACAGAATCAGTACGCATATCTAAATCTATATATATGTAGAAAGAGTTTTATTGTAAGATATGGGCTCATGTGATTATGGGGGCCGAGGAGTCACATAATCTGCCATCTGTAAGGTGGAGAACCAGGGAAGATGAAAGTGTAGTTTGAAGGCCTGAGAACCTGAGAGCCAATAGTGTAGCTTCAAGTCTAGGTCTGAAGTCTTGAGAACCAGGAGCACTGAGGGTGGGAGATGATTAATGTCCCAGTTCAAGCAGTAAGGCAGACAGCAAACTCAACTTCCTTCTCAATTTTTGTTTAATTCAGTCCTTCAATGGATTGGATGACACCCATCCACACTGGGGAGAGTTATCTGCTTTACTGAGCCTACCAATTCAAATGTTAATTTCTTCTGGAAATGCCTTCATAGACACATCCAGAAATAATGTTTAACCAGCTATCTGGTCATTCCATGTTGCAGTTAAGTTGACTCACAAAATGAAACATCACACCTTCCATGCACCAAGGCTCTCCTCTTCTCAGCTACTGACTCTTCTCTTTTTCTTTGAATATGTTCATCTATCTTTCCCAGATAAAACTGACCTGGGTTCTCTGATCTTGATAATACTTCCTATTTTAATTGCACTGCATCAGTTTCTCCTACCTTTGCTTTTTAAAGTTGGTTAGTAGACATCTTTTAAGAGTCAATATGCATATTGGGTAAATTTCTAGGCCAGGCTCAGCAGCTAGACTACCTGTTTTTGGTCTTAGATTGGCTATATTTTTTACCAGCTGTGTGACATTGGGCGAGTTATCTCACTTCTATGTACCTCTGTTTTTTCACCTGTAAATGAGAATATTAGTAAAACCTTTCTCTTATAGAATTGTGATGATTTAAACAGTTACTTAATGTCAGACACTTAAAACAGTGCCTCATGAATAGTTATCCCTCAGCAAACATTAGCTATTATTATTTTACTTTGATTTTATAAGAAGAGAATAAAGCCTTCTGAAATGATGACATTCTTTAGAGGCAGTTTTAGGTTTGTAGCTTCTTCCACCTTGTCTGTAGTGATGTACTGAAGATAAGGGAACGAAAATATTAGCCGTATCAGCATCCAATAGTGGGAACCTCTGCAGTGTTAAGTTTCATTATCTTTAAATGCAAATTTCTCTTTCCCTTATTCCTACCCTATTGGGCAATCTAGCCACTGTTTGCATCATTACAGAGCTGACATCATCCTGGCTCAGAAAGATTTTTAAAATCAGATCTGTCACGGTCATAAATTATCATTCTTTCTTCAACCCAGCAGCTCCACCTTCAAGGACTTAGAGGGCAACAGCCTAAAGGATAGTGGACATGAGGAGAGCGACCAAACTGACAGTGAGCATGATGTCCAGCGGAGCCTGTATTGTGATACTGCTGTCAATGATGTGCTGAACACCAGCGTGACCTCCATGGGATCTCAGATGCCTGACCATGGTAAGGACTGGTTGGATGTAAGTTGCAACAATCGATTCTAAAGAACCGAATGTTTGTGGGCACACTATACTACTTTGCTTAATGAGTGTGTTATCAAGATGTCTACAGAGCTCATACCTCAGCATCACCTACAGGTTTTTGAGATGTTCTGACACCTAGCCAGACTCTTCTTTGCCCTCCCTAAGTGGATCCCCTAGGTCGATATAATGTTCAGGCATTTTAGAAGCTGACTACATGTACATATTGCATACATTTTCTTCAATAAAATTGCACTGAGCTTATAGGAGATGAACAGATGCCTTCTCTCCAGGAATAAATGCCTCTTTTTGCTTTAGTACATGAATTTAGTTGATCAATTGAATTGCATAGAACACAGCACTAATGAAACCAAAGGGGTGGGTTTTATTTCCCTATCAGACTGGTTAGCTTTACCCAGAGTGAGACTGTTCTCTGACTGTGTACTATTTACTGAGGATAGAAAGTCCCAAAGTTCCCATTTTGTCTATGGGACTGCTATGCCAAATCCCTCCCTCTAGCTACTACACAAAACCATGCCATAGTCATAGGGGAGACCAGGGTAAGAGAACGTGGCTGAGTGAATGTAAAGTGTTGCATTAATATGAAAGGCACTTCAAAGCACATGTCAGAAGTGGCATCCTCATGTATGAAGAAGAGTCTATTTTTGTGAACTCAGCCACACATGCTTTAGCAAGGGGCACTATTTAAAACTTTGCTAGACAGAAACCAGGGTATAAAAGCATTAGCAGAGTTCAACTATGGCAGAATGTTTAGATGGACTTGGGCACAAATGTCATTTTCAATATTTTACTGATGCAAACATGCTATGCAAACAGCCTGTCTTTTTCAATTAAGAAATATGAATTCAACTTGGTGTTTAGGCTCAGTGAAGCTTTAGAATGCTTGGCTATGTCTTGAGAAAAGCTAGACTCAAGCTCAGCTGGAAGCCCTACTGCTAAAAGACTTAAAGATGAGAAAACAAAATATGGTGATTATGTGCTGGTCTTCAGCTGTTTCATTTCACTGTAAACATCATTAAATACTTTTGTTTTGGTTTTGGAAATAAATCCAAAGGAAAAAATGCACCATCCACAAAACAAAATGTTTTTCATGGAAAAAAATTAGTCACTGTAGATTCTATTAAATTGTCTAATCCATCACCTCCCCAGCAGACCCAAGTGTCAAAGTCTATTATATATAGAGGTCACTATGAATTGTATACTGTTGTCTTCCCTAATTGGTGAGTGGTGACATCTGCAGAGATAATACACTTTCTGGGAAACCTTACTAGGACTAAAGATGAAAAAAATTAAACATTTATATAACTGAAACAGAGGCAATTTAATACTCAGAGGATTAGCAGTATGTCACAGGATGCAAACTGATATATATCATTTACTAGTCGTGTGTTTCATAGAAACGCTTTTTCATTTATATCAAGAAAGGGTTTTAGTTAGATGCTCTCTAGAATGAAATGACTCCAGGAAAGGAAATAGTCATAATTGATTCTCACTTTATGCCTGGCTAGCACAGCATCTGTTTTAATTTTTTGTCACATTTCTCTAGGAAATCGGTATCGGGGGCTGGAGCTAGTTTTTCCGGGAGAGTGTTTATTACGAATGGGATGTATTACATATGCATGTATTTATGTATACATATATATGTATTTATGTATATATATATGTGTTTATATATATACACTGTGTAGATTGGATAATAAGAAGAGGATTCTTTTTTGTGAATGCATACCTAAATTTTATTTCAGCTTAGCTGTTTAGGTTGAAGGTAGAGTCCACCAGTCTCCATATAGGTAGTGACCATATATCCCAATTTGCCTTGTATACCTCACTTTACATCTGTGTCCTTGTCATAATCAATGATGAGAATATTCTAAAGGAAATGTGTGGCAATGTCCCAAGATTCTCCTACATGTAACATGATGATTTTATACACACACACATGCATACACACACATATATACTTTTTGCTTTTCCATTTTTTGGCATCCATTTCACATTTTCTTTCTTACTATTTGATTTGCATGTGTGTATCTTCATTTTTTCTATTATTCTGACAGTGGTTAAATCTTGAGCCAACCTTTGAGTGAGTTCTTTTCAACTTGTGTGATTGCCTAAAGTTTAGGTACAAACATAATTTGGATCTTTTTTACACCTCAGTCTCTCCCTTGTGATATCCTACTACTTCTGAAGCTTTCTGTAATAATACTTGTGTGTCCCAAATGAACTCCAGGCTTGCCACATAGATTCCATCACCAGTTCACTTGGACTCATGACTACAACCTCAAAAAAGGGCAATAACTTCAACAATTCACATTTCATAGCATTTTACTATCTCAAGCCTGCATTTGCATAATAAGTATATCACATTTTATCTTAAGGTACAGTGGTTGAAAGGCAGTCACTGCGTGATCTATCATGCATGCCTGATATTATAACCATTTTAGTTAGATTTGTCCTGGGGTAGCATGGTATTGTTGCTTCAAAGGACTACCAATTTGGAAAGGTAAGAAGGGAAAATAGAATCTGCACTGGACTGAGACCTGTACTGAAAATCTCAAGTATTTCTTGAGGAGAAAAAAACTAGTCCCAAATCCCCTTGGTTCATTTGGCACTGTGATAGGAATCTTAAACCCAAGTGTCCTGAAATCCTTGGAATTCCAGAGCAACTGTTCCTGAGGTTTGTGTAGGTATAACCAGAACAGAGTGAAGAACGTAGTGAATTTGCCAGGCTAACTCTGATCCTGATATTTCTTTTCGTTCTGCCAGAACTACTGCAAAGTTGGGCCAAATGTACCCAAAAGAGTGTACCTTACACCTTTGTTTTGGGGAGTTTGTCTCACCTTGTATTTCATGTCTGTAGCTCTCTCTGTGACTTTTCTAATTTGGATATTAGTATTACATCTTCCTTGCACATATGTGGACACATGATTGATGGGTAATCTCAAAATTTTCAAAATAAAGGTGATTTTGTACATCGGTTAATTTTTCCATTGAGCAGGAATGGGTTGTTCAATGAGCTGATGTTGTGTTGCCTGTGTTTGAGGTAAAGGTACAAACTATATTCACTTCTCTTTCTGAGAGACACCTGGGCCCTGTGCTTTTCCATACTGCCAAACGTTCCTATGGGATTTGTCCTTATGACTGTAATGTAGCAGAAGAATGATTGGTATGAATAACAGAGGTGGTTTGTGACTCTGAGCAAGAGCCCAAATTCATTAATTTTTAGTAACCCTTCTCTGAGAACATTTCTAGAGGTGGGAAACCAGAATCACTATATTTAATGAAGGAGGGAGAATATTATATTCAATAGAGGAAAGAGAATGTCTAGAAGACTTCCTTTTTTTTTTTTTTTAGACGGAGTCTCACTCTGTCACCCAGGCTGGAGTGCAGTGGTACGATCTGCTTACTGCAACTTCTGCTTCCTGGGTTCAAGTGATTCTCCTGGCTCAAATTCCCAGGTAGCTGGGACTATAGATGCACAGTACCATGCCTGGCTAATTTTTGTATTTTTAGTAGAGACAGGATTTCACCATGTTGGCCAGCTTGCCTTGAACTCCTGACCTCAAATGATCCACCTGCCTTGGCCTTCCAAAGTGCTGGGATTATAGGTGTGAGCCACCGTGCCTGGCCTAGAAGACTTTTGAATTCAAAGGGCAAAAGTCACGTATTTAGTCACTAGGAATTTTGGATTATGTGTTTCTTTTTCGAGTTTTAAAAGTGTCTAAATTTATTTTTTATTTTGTTTATAAATGACAATCATAATTTTACATGTTTGTGGGATACACTCTGATGCTTCAATACATGTATATGTTATATAATATAATTAAATCAGAGTGGTTAGTATATCCAGCCACCTCAAACATTTATCATTTCTTTGTGGTAATAGCTTTTAAGATCCTCTTTTTTAGCTATCTTGAAATATATAATACATTGTTATAAGCTATAGTCACTCTGCTGTGTATAGTCACCAGAGAGATTGTATTTTGATTGTCCAACCAAACACATGTCGTGAGCTTGGTGAGGGTGGAAATGAGAGGGAATGATAAGAATCTATGCTTTCTGGATTACTATCAATCTTTGTATTTCTCTTGACATGCCTAAGACAAGGCCAGTTGGTTGATGAACTGGCTAAGCTAAATTTCCTGGTTGCCAGTTGACTGAATTACAAATTCCTTTGTCATCCAGTGCCCATTAATTAATATGTCTCAATTTGTCCTTAGTATCCAGCTCTTGTTGTTATGGCTTCCCAGAAAAGAAGGTGATAGAGAATTCTTTATCCTGTGCTTTCTACTGGCATGTTGTAGAATGACATTTTTTGGAACACTGTCTCCTAATAGCTCTGAATGCCTTGAGACCAAGTAACTGTTGTCATTTGGCAGGTTTTACCACTTGATTTGGTTCTTGAGGCAATTTGGTGCTGAGCTTGGGAGTCACACTCAAATTTTTTAGCTGATGCCTTTCCGCTCTGAGGGAATTATTTGGATTGAGGGCGTCTGAGTTAGTTGGTAAAATTACCACCCTCTGGTGGGGATAAGAAGTTTGCTTTTATGGAGTTCCTGCAGAGTCTCTAAAAAGAGTGATTGACAAGTAGAGTCGTCAGAGGTGCCATAGTCTCATGGGTTTGTTGCATGATTAGAGGTATTACCGGGCTTGAATTTCTTCTGATCCGGGTTATCACTGAGCTGAGTAGTGGGGGCCGGAGTCTGGCTCCTCCTTGCTTCTTTGCATAACCATTTTTGATGATGCAGATATCTCATTATTCTTACTTAAATATGTAATCCTGATATGAAATTGGGGTTTATAGGGATCATGCCCTAGAAGTGTACACTAGTCTCAAGCTCAGCTATTTTGTTTCGAATTATATTCAGTCTCTCTTTCCTTATGATTTTAATTATTGATTATAAATTCATCAGCTGAAAAGATGACTCTAATTGTTCTAATATGCACCCAATTTGGAGTTCA